TGGCACCCATCCCTTCTTTCAGTTTACACATCATACCGAATCACAGTTTGGTTTAACTATAGGCAGTTGAATAGCCACAATGTCTGGGACTCCATAAACATTAACCAATGAGTACGAGTTATCCAGAATTTTTTTCTCAGTGGAACTTTGCTTTAATGCAAAGATGAGCACTATTTTTGACAAAGTAAACACATTTACAGTTTTGAGGGTGTTTCATTGGCATTCTCACAAGAAAATGTACCCAACCACAAAGAAGGTACCATATTTTTCGGAGTATAAAACACACCTTTCCCCCCTAAAAAGGGGTGAAAATTTGGGTGCGTCTTATACACCAAATGTAGCCCCGCCCATTCACTGGCCCCCATCCTTTGGCCTCTGCCTCCCAGCAGTTACCTCCTTGCAGCAAGCAGCAAGAAGAAACAGCTCGTTTCAGCTTTAGGATAGCCTAATTAGCACAAGTTGATTGGATTAGCCTCCCGACTCTCAGCTGTTTTGCGTGGGCCTCTGCTGCTTGCTGCAAGGAGGTAAATTGCTGGAGCAGTTTTTTTTTTCTTGTGCTAATCAAGCTATGCTGAAAAAAAAATGAAAGTAAAGCAGGCTGTTTGCTGCAACGAGGCAAAATTGCTGGGAGGCAGAGGCAGATTTCTTTTTCTTGTTTTCCTCACCAAAATAGGTAGGTGCGTCTTATAGTCTGATGCATCTTATACTCCGAAAAATATGGTACTTACTACAAATAATAATAAACTGAGAGGTTCTTCTTACTCCCTTTATAGTCTGCAAGGATGCTTTCTAGCACCCTCCCGATTTCTCTTATTTCATTTTTGGGAGATGGGTTAAGTAGACACTCGAACCCACAAGTTATTAGTTGAAACCACACGGACACCCATTTTGTTTTCAAAGGGAATAGGATCTATAAGCGGTTTTGCAAATCTCAATAATGCTAGGTTGATGCTTCTCTTTATAGCAGATCCGGTCTTCATTCAAGTTGAATGAAGGGGATTTGGTGCCCGTGTTTGCACGGCAATCTTACTCATAGGTTGTTTACTTGTGGTTTGTTGATATACCGTGTTTTCCCGAAAATAAGACCTTGTCTTATGTTTTTTTGAACCCCAAAATAAGCCCTCGGCCTTATTTTCAAGGAGGTCTTATTATTTTGGGGAACGTGGAGCAAGACTGGGCTCCTCTTACCGTCTTACCTGATTTCCAGCTCTGTCTCCCTAACCCTAACTAGAGGAAATGGCAGGGACTGGCAGTGCATGTGTTTATATATTTTCGGGGAAGGCTTATTTTCGGGGGGGTGTCTTATTTTAGGCATGCGCTCAAAAGCCCAATCGGTCTTATTTTCGGGGACACAGTAACTGAGTTTGCACAACATCCTAAACCAAAGATTCTCAACCTTTTTTTCATCACGGGCCCCCTTTAAATACCTTTTGTGGCCACGGAACATGACCACGGACCCCCCCAAGACTTAACTCCCCAAGATTTAACATTTTTTTCTAGCCTTCATGGACCTCCTGTAATGTCATCTTGGGCCCCCCAGGGGTCCGCGAACCACCGGTTGAGAACCACTGTCCTAAACCATAATTCAGAGTATACAAACCACAGTGGTTGTGTACCAAACTTCCTTCCTTGAATCATTTGGAAATAATCCAAGAAAGTCACTTATAATCGACTGAAAATAGTTTGATTCCTAGTGGTTTCATATTTTTTTTCCTGCAACCTGCTGCCTTCCAGGCTTAACTTGTGTTTAAGCTAGCCTATTGAGAAAGGCTAGCTTAAAGACAAGAAGGTCCTTCACTGGGCAAGATATACTTTTGAATAGATTTTTATGCAGTTTCGTCAATATAAATCGCTCAGTTTTGGAGTTCTCACATTGAACTGGATAACTGGTTCCTTTCCCTTACTATTTAGGTTCTGTCACGCTCTCTTCTCCCTGTCTCTTTCTCCCAGGGATTTATTTGTACCAAGGTGGATAATCTTTGAAATTCTAGTTACACACCGCATCCTACAACTTGATGTCTAACTGCCTCTGATCAATGTCTTTTCTTTTCTTTTTTACTGTGAAGCACTTTCCTTTTATTCCACATATTGCCTTTTATTGCTTCAGGTGATATTCTAGATATTGAATTGTGATGTGTGAATTATTTGAAGTTGTATCCTCTCCCAGGTAAAAGGATTAAGGACCGCTTACTGCCGTTTAGTTGCTCTGAATCCCAGTTTGTTAAAACAAAACTGGCAAGGTTTTAGGCCTGCGGATCTGCTTTATTTATTTGCTATTGATTGATTGATTGATTTTTTTCTTAACTTTGGCATATATATTTTGCCCTTCAGAACGTTCAACGCTAACATACCCTAAGCCCATCGTCTAGAGCAGAGAATGTCAAACTCAAGACCCACAAGCTGGATCTGCCCTGTGGGATGCTTAGATCTGGTCCTTGGTGCTGCCCTGGAAACAGCGAAGGACCGGCCCATAGTGCCTCTGCCGGCCCTCCTGGCTTCCGCTTTCAATGGCAGAGGGCTGCAGGATGTTGAGCTGGCCACGCCTACCTTGACCACACCTACCCTGGCCACGCCCACCCTGGCTCCCCGAGGTCAAAACACAACCCTGATGCTCCCCTCAATGAAATCGAGTTTGACAACCCTGTTTTAGAGCAGTGTTCCTCAACCTTGGCTATTTTAATACAGGTGGAATTCAACTCCCAGAATTCTCCAGGCAGCCTGGCAATGCTGGCTGCGGAATTCTGGGACTTGGAGTCCACACATCTTAAAATGGCTAACGTTGAGAAACACTGATCTAAACCAAGGGAATCAGGGAACCTTCTTCCATGTCTGGTGGCTTTGCCCAAAAATTAAGAAATATTGGATAAAAATAAAAATTTGGATATCAGAAATAATTGCGGAGGATATTGAGTTAGAACCAGACATTTTTTTGTTAGGAATGATTAAACAAAACATTAGAAAGGAAAAAAAAGTACCTAATATTACATATAATTACGGCAGCTAGGTTAGCCCTAGCACAAGTTTGGAAAACAGATCAATTGCCATCGGAGCAGCAAATAATTCAAAAAATTTACACATGTGCAGAAATGGATAGACTAACGTTGAAATTGAAAGATAAGGAAGACTGAAGGTATTTTAAGATATGGGACAGTTGGTATGAGTGGATAAACCAATGGAAAAGAAAGTAAAGTCAAAGTTTAGTATGGAATTAAAAGTAATAATTATACACCGTCATTAAGGAGAAAAAAAAGGGAAAATTAGGTTTGTATATATGTGTACTTATATACATTATATATACTTTGTGTGTTGTTTGTTGATATTGTTGATTGTATTTTAAGGTTGTGAATGTTTTATATAATTTTATTCTTTTTTAAATTTAATAAAGTTTGTTTTTAAAACGGGGAAAAAAAAGAGAAACACTGATCTAGACCAAAGCTCACAATAGTGATACTGGGTGAATAAGAAAGGACAGAAAGCAATAACCAAATAACGATTCGCTTCTCTACATTTTGAGATACCAAAAGGAATGTCTAGAGATGAGAAACCAGGAATTCTAGGAGCCTGATGAGAGAGAATCCCTACATGCCTGAGGGAAGATCAAGGAAATAAGAACTGCAAGATTCCTTTTGGAAAGGAATCTCTAATAGAAAGTACCAATGAAGGAGAATATTTGTAGCTCAGGGTTGAAATGAGGGCTCGTTGATGCTCTCTGAGCTTGCTTGTTTTCTTGGAGACATTTCATTACTCAAACTACAATAGTGGCCAAAACTGTGGGAACCTTTTGGGAAAAGTGTATTTTCTAAAACTAGCTAATAACACCCCTTTTTTGGGGGAGTAGTACCATAAAATTATATATATCAATGGAAAGATAATCAAGAATGTAATGCAATAACTTTTATGAAGGATTTGCTATTAGAATAGCAGTTACAGTATAAAGCAGAAAAGTGAAACACGTAGGAAAAATGAGATCTACTGTACAAAAATGATCACCATAGAAAAAATGAGATATACAAAAATTATCACTATAGAAAAAATGAGATATACAAAATTGATCACCATGTCAGTTAATACTTAATTGGGCAACCTTTAGCATGAATGACGGCCTTACAACGTCTTCCCATGGAGTGAACCAAGTCTTTGAGTTCTGCAGCTGTTATAATGTGAAACCAAGATTGAATGATGGCTTCTATTCACTGGGTTTTATTGCTAGGTTGCTTCTGACTAACAAGTTTCATTAGTCGGCTCCATAGATTTCCAATTGGGTGAAGGTCTGGGCTATTCCCAGGCCATTCCAACAGTGGAATACGATTATCTTGAAACTCCCCCAAAACAGTGGTGTTTATTTATTTATTTATTGGTTCGATTTATATGCCTCCCTTCTCCAGAGACTCAGGGCGGCTTACAATGTGTTAAGCAATAGCCTTCATACTTTTGTATATACCTGCTTAGTAGGACTTTCGGGCTCCCCTAAGCGGTGTTCTTTTTATACAAAGTCAGCTTATTGCCCCCACAATCCGGGTCCTCATTTTACCTACCTCGGAAGGATGGAAGGCTGAGTCAACCTTGAGCCTGGTGAGATTTGAACTTGCACTAATTGCAGGCAGCTGGCAGCTAAGTGCTATTTAATAACCACCAAGGCGTTATTAGTCATCAAACCTCAAAAATACATTTTTCCCAAAAGTTTTCCACAATTTTGGCCACTACTGTAGGTAATATTAGTACCTCGATGAGGTTACCTAGTTTGGGTAATGAAACATCTGCAACAAAACAAGCAAGCTCTGAGAGCCCCAAGGAGCTCTCATACAAAGTAATGGAAGAGGGAATAGACAATAACTAATCTGGAGATAAAGTAGAACTATCTCCGTTAGTGTCAGAGAAGAGTAAAATAATAATGGGTCATTTTGGGGGTTGGGGTCGGGGGAACGATCTTTCTTCAAAATGCATGGATCTTAAAATATTTTATCATAACTTATTTAATTGAAACCTTGTCTCTTTTATAGGCTTACCCGAGTCTATCATTGCGGCAGCATGTGCAAGGAGTGGCCAGCGAGTTCTTCATGTGGATTCGTAAGTCCTTCCATCAATGTACATTGTGGCAATAGGTCAGCGTTTCCCAACCTTGGGAAACTTCGTGATGCGTGGACTTTTAACTCCCAGAAGTTGAAGTGGAAGTCTAAACTTCTTACAGTTCTCACATTTGGGAAACACTGCTATAGGTCCTAACAACCATTGACACCAAAGGCTGGCTTAATGGAGGAGATCCTAACTTGATTCTTCCAGAAGGGAGGGAGGGAGGGAGGGAAAAGGGAAGGAAGAAAAAGAAGGAAGGAGGGAGGGAGGGAAAAAGGAAGGAAGAGAAAGAAAAAGGAAGGAAGGAAAGAAAAAGGAAGGAAGGAAAGAGAAAGAAAGAAAAGAAAAGAGAAAAGAGAAGAAAAGAGAAGAAAAGAGAAGAAAAGAGAAGAGAAAAGAAAAAAGAAAGAAAAGAAAAAAGAAAAAAGAAGAAAAAGAAGAAAAGAAAAGAAGGAAAAAAAAAAAAAGAAAGGAAAGGAAAGGAAAAAAGAAAAGAAAAGAAAAAAAAAAAAGAAGAGATAGATAGATAGATAGATAGATAGATAGATAGATAGATAGATAGAAAAAAAAAAAGCCAAGAACAAACCACAACTTTGGCCTTCATGTTATCAAGTGGGAACAAGCTAGAATTAATTGGTGTGGTAGGTTAAACGATCCATACATTAGAAAGAGCTTCTGTGGTTCGTTCCATCTTTTCTGCTGGCATAAAAAGCAGGGAGGAGCAACTGAAGGGTGTCTGCTGGCAACCTCACTTCACTTGTGGTGGGGGCGCTTGTGGTGGCCCGAGCACTCTGCCAGGGAAAATGGGCTTCGGAGTTCCGTTTTCGGCTGCGATTGCCTCCTAGAACCCTCTGCCAGCGAAAACGGAGCTCGAGAGGGCTGCTCCATTTTCACTGGCAGAGGCACCGTGGGCCGGTCCTTTGTTGTTTCCAGGGTGGCCCCACGGGCCAGATCTAAGCACCCCGCGGTGGGTTGATGTGGCCTGCAGGCCCTTGGTCCAGTAGCAAGGAAGGAAATAGCAATTGGATGCCAGCGCTCTTCATTATTTGCAAAGCTAATTTGTTGATTTGACAGCTCTGTATGTTTGTTTCTAAACGGGAAAAAAAAAAGTGTAATTCCTAACACTTCTTTTTCTCAGCGTTGGGAAGAAAAAAGTGTTAAGCTTTAAATTGTGCTAAGCTTAACAGTTTATTTTTCTCTATTAATAGGGTTAGGTACAATATTTATATAAAGGTTGCTCGCTCCCTTATTCCCCTGTTATAACAAGTTGTACGTATTTGCACTTCCCAAACCAGAATGGGAAAAAGGTTCTTGCTTTCATTTAATTCACAAGCCTTCAGCTGTTCCTTTTGCAAGGAATTCCATCATTTTGAAATAATTGTTTCTCCCCCCCCCCATCCCCACTCCTCCAGAAATACAACTCCCAAGAGAAGAGGATGCAACTAAAATTTAGTTAAAGAAAAGGTAGAAACTGCTACCGGATTTACCTCTCAAAATTTAAATCCATCAATTTTGCATGGGTTTTTTAGGCAAGCAGCATATGAGGGATAATCTGAATATTGCCGCCCCGCCCCCCTTTATAAATCTGCTCTTTATTGGTGCTGGGTAAACTTTAAATCTTCCCCAGGTAGTCCTCGACTTACGACAACAATTGAGACCAACATTTCTGTTGCTAAGTGAGACACTTGAGTTTTGCCCCCATCTTAACGAACTTTCTTGCCACATTTGTTAAGTGAAACATTGCCGTTATTAAGTCCGTTACACACGGTTGTTAAGTGAATCTGGCTTCCGCATTGACCTTGCTTCTTAGAAGGCCGCAAAAGGGGAATCACGTGACCCCGGGACAGGGCAGCCGTCATAAGTATGAGTCAATTGCCAAGCATCTGGCTTTTGATCACATGAGCATGGGGATGCTGCAGCGGTCGTCAGTGTGAAAAATGGTGATAAATCGCTTTTTTTCAGTACTGTTGAATGGTCACTCAATGAGCTGTTGTAAGTCAAGGACATTACCTTTACTTTCTGATGGGAATTAGATCAGTGGTGAAATCTAAAATTTGTTACTACCAGTTCTGTGGGCGTGGCTTGGTGGGGGGGGGTAATGTGACGGTGGGTGTGGCCATTTTTTATTTTTTTTTACTTTTAAAACCATTTTTTCTACAACCTCTTCGGCGAAGAGGTTGTAAAAAAATGCTTTCTAAAGGGTCTGACGATCCCAGCTGAGTTGCCAGATCAGCAGAGGCTTTTTTTCTTTTAAATGCCTCTGCCGATCAGACAACTCAGTTTGAATCGTCAGAGGCATTTAAAAGAAAAAAAGGGTTTTTTTCTTTTAAACGCCTCTGACGATCCAAGTTGAGTTGCCTGATCGGCAGAGGCTTTTTTAAGCTTGGATCGTCAGAGGCGTTTAAAAGAAAAAAGCCTCTGCCGATCCCAGCTGAGCCACACGCTCATCAGAGGCTTTTTTGTTTTTACTTTTAAAAGCATTTTTTCGGCCAAAGAGGTTGTAGAAAAAATGCTTTTAAAAGTTAAAAAAAAGCTTCTGATGATTGTGCGGTTCAGCTGGGCACGGGGGGGGGCAGGGATTTTTGCTACCAGTTCTCCGAACCACCCACCTCCATCGCTACCGGATCGAGTGATCCGGTCCGAACTGGGAGCATTTCACCCCTGAATTAGATGGAGCACTTATGTGGGTAGGTGGAAGAAACTTGAGTGTCAAAGGAAACTTTTGATCTACTTTTTGGTGCCAACGCTGCTTGGATTCATTACCCCGAGAGAATCTTATCACTTTTAATCTCCCACCACTGTTTTGTGTTTATCATAATATACCACTTAGGTGATGATGGTGGATGATCTGAAGTGAACCATTATAAACCATTGAGCAGCACCTCTGTTGATTTATAAACACCGTCCCCAGCCTCTTCCTTCTCCAGACCGCTAATCATATTCAAAATAGTCACTTCCATTGTAGCCCGGTCATAAATTCCTATAATCGTGTTTTAAAACCAAAGTTAGCTTCTGCCAAATTGTAATTGAAGGAGGCTTTCTTTAGCTATCCGTCTCAATAAAACGTTAAAAAAAACAAAAAGCCACCAACCATTGGTTCTTTTTCAGAGAGCTACATTTACTGTAGGTATTAATGAGCTGTTGACATGTGGAATTTCAAGGATGGATGCTAAGTGATTTAGAAAAGTAATTTGCAATTCAGAATACGCCGGCTTGGCATTGAGTTTAAACTTGGAAGTTGCAAAAGTTTGAATGGAAATTTAGTTGGGGGGAAGCAATTTGCGTATGCGTGAAGATTTTCCTCCCCAGTCACCTCTCTTCCGTCTTTGCAAATCTTATTTTGGGGGATGCTGCTCTTGTTTAGCCGTCGGTTGGGTTGCCCTGATGGCAGGGAAAAAAGGAAACAGGAGAGCGATTTATTTCCTTAACTTCCCCAACTTCTATCTAGCAATAAAATTCGGTTTATTCTTCAACACTTTTTTGTCAGTAAGGCATCATTTTTCAGTTGATTTTTCAATTAATTGATCAAAGCTCAGGCGTTTCAGAGACTTTGGTAGAGCTATAATGGAAGTATTATTGGTAAGGCTTAAGAGCAAAACTTAAGTTAGTCATTGTGGCAGGAGAAACTTTTGTTTGCTTTTAACCTATCTTGTTCCTATTGAAGTAAGACATTACAATTAATGATTGGAATTAGTGGCTGATTTCTCATATTATACTAAACCATGAGTGTTTAATCATTGTTTACTAAATAAATGTGGATGGATTTGCCTGACACGGCTTGTTAAAAGCAAGAAAGGCATTATCTTTTAGGTCTTGGAATTATCTCTGCCTCCAACTGATGAATTTGAATTGGGATCCAAATGGTGAATAAAGCCATGCCATTACAGTATCCTATAAGGACATTGAAATTCTTTTTCTTTTTAAAGTTTTTTTTTCCTCATCCCTATCTCCTTTCTATCGAAACCCGGATCACACTGGGATATATTTTGGAGGAATGTGCTATCAGGAATCAGAAACTCAAGCTGGAAGCAAACATGTTCCTTTAATTTAGGGATGTCAAACTGGATTTCTTCGAGGGCTGGATCAGCATTGTAGCTCTCCACGGGCTGGTTTGGGGGGGGTGGTAGAAGGGACAGATGCCTCCTGCAGCACCCTGCTGGCCAAAATGAGGCACGGGGGGCCGCCCACGGCCCCCTCTGTCCTGTTTTTGGCCTGAACGGCCTCCTGCAACTCTTTACTGGCCAAAATGGGGCACAGGGGAGGCACATGCGGTTCCCCCGCGCCTCATTTTTCGCCCTCCATGGTCTCCTGCAGCACTCTGCCTGCTGAAAACAAGCTGCGTGGGGGAGCCATTGCTGTCACGTAACGTTCTGCCACATTTTCCCCCTTCGCGGAACTGGGTGACGCATCCGACCCGGGGGCCGCCAGTTTGACATCCCTGGAGAGTGTCGGTGATGAGCAAAACTAACACTGTAATAACAGCTTCATCCAGACGGTTAGTTGGAACTTCTACGATTTGACGCAGATGACTTTGTACATCCTTGCTTTTAAACGCGGATGCAGGAGAAAGTTTGCCAGTTAAGAGAGAACTCACGCGGATGACAGCCGGACCTCCTCTTCTCCCCCTTCCTTCTCCCTCCAGAAAGAGATCAAATAGAGAAAGACACGTGCAAGCAGGTCTCTGGAGAAATCACAGGCATCAGCCGCTTCTTCCCAGACCGTTGCCTTTGATTCATTTTTTTCCCCCCGGGGCGACGACTGTATTGAAAGAGGCGGCTTTCCTAACTGGCATTCACGGCAAAAACTAGGCTTTCCCCCTGCAAATTCTGCTCTTGCGTTTCTATCGATGACACTTTTCTAAAATCCCGACATTTATGAAGGTCTCCTTTGGATCGGAGACCAGAGGCTTAGTGGAGATCTATTGCTTGAATTGCGATTAGCGGCTAGCCTGACTCCTCGAAGCCTTGATGAGCTTTGAAATATGTCAGGATGATAACCAGAAGCTGAAAAAACCCAATATGTATGATCTACGATCCCGAGTAATCAAGAATTGGAATATCCAATTTTGGAAAATTTGACAGCCCCCATGTTTTAAGAATTCTTGAAAGATGGTTCTTACTGTTTAGGGAGTTGTATTGTTTTGTTTTGCATTGTCAGAGTGTTTACAGCGTGATTACTATTTTGAGACAACCTAGGAGCAAAATACAGGACACAGAGGTTTTGTCATTACAAATACCCTGTTTTCCCGAAAATAAGACATCCCATGATAATAAGCCCAATCAGGCTTTTGAGCGCATGCGCTCAAATAAACCCTCCCCGAAAATATTTAAACGCACGCACAGCCGGTCCCTGCCATTTCCTTTAGTTAGGGTTAGGGAGACAGAGCTGGAAATCAGGTAAGACTGCAAGAGGAGCCCTCTTGCTCCATGCACCCCAAAATAATAAGACCTCCCCAAAAATAAGGCCAAGCGCTTATTTTAGGATTCAAAAAAATACAAGACAGGGTCTTATTTTTGGGAAAACATGGTAGTGGTTTATATACAGGACTTCTATATACAGACATACACATGGTAGGCACACACCAGGCAATCAATCAATCTTCAATTCTACACGGAGAGCTACAACGCAGATAGAACATGACTAGGAGAGAGATACACAAGGAAAGAGAGAGAGAGAGAGACGCCCTCTGATGGCCTTCCTTATATAGACAGCTTCTTAAAGGGGCAATACCCCTGCTGACTCATCCCCAGTTCATCATCTTTACAGCGGCTGGTCAGCTTTAAATCCTCATTACCCTCCTATGTAATTATCAGATTCCCCAAAGAAAGTTTTCAAATAGACGGATATCTCTCTGTGTGTGTCTGTATGTGTGTGCGTTTTGCTATTGTAAAAATGCTTTTTGACTCCTTTGATTTGGTCCTGTTCTTGTAGGGCTCCAGTTTGGTTTTCAACTCATTGCAGCTGTTACTACAGGTAGTTCTCGATTTATGACCACAATTGAGCCCAAAATGTTTTTTGCTGAGCAAGACAGTTGTTAGGTGAATTTTGAATCATTTTACGACCTTTCTTGCCACAATTGTTAAGCGAATCACTGCAGTTGTTAAGTTACCAACACAGTTGTTAGTGAACCCAGTGTCCCCATTGACTTTTTTTTTTTTTTTTAAATTTGATTTATATGCTGCCCTTCTCCGGAGACTCAGGGCGGCTTACAATGCGTTAAGCAATAGCCTTCATTCTTTTGTATATTTTATACAAAGTCAGCTTATTGCCCCCACAAACTGGGTCCTTTGCTGGGCAGAAGGCGCAAAAGAGGGTCACATGACCCCGGGACACTGCAACCGTCATAAATATGAGCCAGTTGCCAAGCATCTGTATTTTGATCGTGACTATGGGAATGCTGCAACAGTCGTAAGTGTGAAAAATGGTCATAAGTCACTTTTTTCAGTGCTGTTATAACTTCGAATGGTCACTTAATGAACTGTTGTAAGTTGACGACTACCTGTACAACTTCAGTTAAAGATGTAAATTATTATTATTTATTATTCGCCAGAGTGGTGCCGTGGCCTAGAGGTTGTGAGTTTGATCCAAGGTAGGGACAGATATTTCTCTCTTTGGGCACAATGCGAATATATCTGCTGAAAAAAACTCTGTATTAGCAACAGGAAGGGCATCCGGCCAGTATACACTCAGCTCCATTTGGTTGCCCAGACTCCACCCCTCAAGGGATTATGGCGTCATTAAAATAAGATGATGATTTATTATTCGCCACCCTGAGTCACCTTGTAGAGGAGGTGGGTGGCATAAAAATGTAATAAATAGTAAAGGTGTAAATGTGAGGGTCAATTATGCTTACACTCCTAATCAAAACTTTGTCGCTGAATACACTGCTATGCCTATAAGAAATTATATCCTACTTTTAAACGGCAACTATGGTGACTAAATGGAAAAGGGAAGAGGGATTTTTGCTGGTTGGAATTGGTTTGTATACTTATTATTCTCTTTATTCATAGAGACGTGCGAAAGTCTTTTTTCTGGGACATCTTTCTCTATAACTGAAATCCTTCCAATAAGGAAATTGCTGACCCTTTTTCTTCTTTTTCTTTTCTTCTTTCCTTCTCTGCTCTGCTGCCACAGGAGAAATTACTATGGAGGAAATTGGGCAAGTTTTAGCTTCTCGGGATTATTGTCCTGGATAAAAGAAAACCAAGTAAGGAGCAGCTTTATTGTTTTATCTCAAATTCTACCCTGTTTCCCTGAAAATAAGACCCAAACGGAAAATAAGCCCTAGCATGATTTTTCAGGATGCTCATAATATAAGCCCTACCCCCAAAATAAGCCCCAGTTAAGATTGTCAGCCAGATGGATGCATTTAGTACCGTATTTCCTCAAAAATAAGACCCAACCAGAAAATAAACCCTAATGCGTCTTTTGGAGCAAAAATTAATATAAGACCCGGTCTTATTTTCGGGAAAACATGGTATTGTTTTTGTTGAAGCGTTAGTTTTAATTTAAACGTAAGTCTTCCGGGCCTGTTTTCCTTTTTTTAAGGAGCCAAAGTTGAGAATTCTAACACAGGTGGGAAGAAAAGGAGACGTACTCTGTTCCCATCTCCTAATTTTAAATTATTTTAATATTTCTGCTTAGATTAAATTCCACCAAGAAGGGATGATTCGCTCAGTAAAAACAACATGTAAGGATAGATTTGGCAACCTGTGGTCATTATGCAAGACTGAGCCCTTTTTCTGTCTATCTTGAGAACCCTTCCAACATCACACTGCAAACCAGTGGAACAAGTGTTGTGCGATTTTCCTTAGGTTTTTTTTTTTTTTTTGCAAAATAGAAAGAAAAAAAAAATTATGAATGAAGGCGAAACTATCATGTTCCAGGATAGTGTTGGAGGATCCAATCTGGGTTGGTCTTGTGGCCCGTCAGTGGCCTGTGCAGCTCGTAGCTGATTCCGACAGTGAGGAGGCTGGTGTGGTGCTGCGCCAGCAGCCTGTGCAGCTGGCACTCGAGTCAGACAATGAGGAGGCTGGAGAAGATGTGGTGCCCGAGGTAGGGATTCAACCAGGGCCTTCAGAACCTCCAGAAGCTCCCATAAGTGAAGAGGAAGAAGAGGAGGAGCCTCTTCTGATGCACGGGTGCGCAGAGCTGCCAAAAGGCAGGAGTGGCTCCTCAGGAGGAGGTCTCCTCGAGAGTAAGGCTTGGGGCTAATTGGCCACTCCCTTAGCCTATTTAAGGAAGGATGATGACTGAGGCAATTTGCAGGGAACAACTTCGTTCATTCTCTTTTGTATCCTGATCTTAGTTCTCTTATCAGTTTCCTGCAAATTGCTTCTGGTCTTTCTGCCAACCATAGTAAGATTACGATTATTTATTCTTTGGATTCTTGTAGGCTGTTAAGAAAGTTAATTAACAGCCTTTATTTGAAAACGACTGATTTAATTTAGTAAACTAAGGTTTGTACAGACTTTGTGTGTGCTGCGTTCTTTGGGGTCTGTAGCTGGGGCAGAACAGTTGGTCACCAGAGTGCAAGAAAGAAGTTCCCTGCAAATCTGCTCCAACATGAGTCCGAAAGCTCAGGAGACAAAACCTCTGGACCCTTGGATCCTGCAAGGGGGGGAAAAAAAATCTTAAGCCTACTGTTAATTGTTTTTTTTTTAATTCCTAAAATGAAGAAAATGATTGAAAATTCAAATAATATTATCATGTCCTTTATCCTTCTTTTTTTTTTTAATGGTTCTTTTAAAAAAAAAAAAGTAAGCCTTCATCCATATATTGTCTTCCTATGTTGTAGCAATCATGAGCCAATCAGAATTATTTATATAGGTATATTTGCTGTCTGCATTCTGTTACGCTGTACTTTGCAGAAGTTTAAAATAAGACATCCCCTGATAATAAGCCCAATCGGGCTTTTGAGCACATGCACTAAAATAAACCCCCCCCCCGAAAATAAGACTTCCCCAAAAATATTTAAACGTAGAGCTGGAAACCAGGTAAGACGGCAAGAGGAGCCCCATCTTGCTCCACGAGCCCTAAAATAATAAGACCTCCCTGAAAATAAGGCCAAGCATTTATTTCGGAGTTCAAAAAAATATAAGACAGGGTCTTATTTTCGGGGAAACACAGGTAAACTTCTAACAGCTTGATTTTATATACAACAGGGCGAAGATTTTTTATTCCTGCCATTTTAAAAGTTTAAATGAAACAAAAAAAAATTTTTTTACACTGCTATTTGTTTTCTCCCCCCCTCCCCCCTCCCCTTCTTTTCTAATATAAACTTTATTTTCTTTGTTCCTGTTATTACAAGGAACTGGCCAATCCATGTGAGGAAAGTACAGCTTGGCAAGGACTAATTCTTGAAAATGAGGAAGCGGTTCCTCTTAACAAGGAAGATCAAACCATCCAGAATGTAGAATATTTCTGCTATGTTAGGTGAGTACAAGATGATGCGTATTTAATTTAATAGATGTGTTTGCATATTCTACAAAGTCCTGTTTCTAAACTATGAATTATTCAATTAGCCACAATTTAGTGCGTGGAGGGTCCCTGATTGATATAATGCAGTGTGCAACTTCAATTATGGTGGTTATTTGGAAGGGGATAATGAAATGTAGGGAGGGACGCGGTGGCTCCAATGGCTACAACACTGAGCTTGTCGATCGAAAGGTTGGCAGTTCAGCGGTTTGAATCCCTAGTGCCGCGTAACGGGATGAGCTCCCGTTACCTGTCCCAGCTTTTGCCAACCTAGTAGTTTGAAAGCACGTAAAAAATGCAAATAGAAAAATAGGGACGAGCTTTGGTGGGAAGGTAACAGCGTTCTGTGAGCCTTTGGCGTTGAGTCATGCTGGCCACATGACCATGGAGACGTCTTCGGACAGCGCTGGCTCTTTGGCTTTGAAACGGAGATGAGCACCGCCCCCTAGAGTCAGGAACAACTAGCACATATGTGGGAGGGGAACCTTTACCTTTAATGAAAAATAAAATTCTCAACGTTCTAGAGAAGATATTTGGAGCTGCTCACCAATTCAAGCATTATGAAAGCCTAAGTGACTTCAGGAATCCAATCCATCCTTCTCTATACTAAACTTGAAAACTTGTGATGAAAAAAGATTTGTCTACTTACTGAGACCATCCTAGACGTACCAATGCCGCAGTTTCACTCTCTTTGTAAGATGTCATGAGTCTGGTTTGAGTGTGGCTTGTGGCAATAGACAGATACATTTTGGGCAGTGGGAAATAGCTATGCTTTCATATATTGTAAAAGCTTGACTTTTCCTTGATTTGCGCGGCAATTGGGAAAAACAAATTGTCCTTAATACACGGAGAAAAGGAGCCATATTATCAATGAACATTTTATTTGTTTATAACCCACTCAAGTCTGTAGCGATCACCAAAGCTCTTGGTAGCCAATCCCCTGGTGTATCTTACTTACTTATAGTTTATTCAGTGTGTACCCTGCTTTTTGTTTTTTGTGTAAACAATTTATAGTGAGTGTAATAAATATTTCCTTTTGTTGATCCCATTTTGCCTACAAAGTGGTTTCATCAGGTGACCGGAATTATGAAGAATGATAGATATATTATATCTTATGATATATGAAGTATTATGAGTAAAAAAGAAGAATGCTCGTTGTATAACATTAATTAACTTTTAGTGTTTTCTATCTCTTTTTTTCCTCTCTTATTAAACAGCTCCAAACATTTGCAATTCTTTCATATAAGGGAGTGAGTTGCTCCTAATCCTTGACTATAGTTTACATCATTCCTTCTTCTAGACCAGGGGTGTCAAACTCAGGGCCGGCGGGCTGAATCTGGCCCATGGTGTGCTTAGATCTGATCCATGAGGTCCGCCCTGGAAACAATGAAAGACTGGCCTGTGGTGCCTCTGCCAGCGAAAATGGAGCTCGGGAGGGTAACGCACGGCCTACTGCAACCCTCTTCCAGCGAAAACAGTTTGGGAGGGCCGCACGCAGCCCTTTCAGCCTCTGTTTTCAGCCACGACAGTCTCCTGCAGCCCTTTGCCAGCAAAACAGAAGCTCGGGGACCTCCGTTTTCACTGGCGGAGGGCTGCAGGAGGCCTCCTCGGCTGAAAATGGAACCTGGGTAGACCGTGCGTGGCTTCCCCGAACACCATTTTTGCTGGCAGAGGGTTACAGGAGGACGTCGCGGTTCAAAACGGAGTCTTGACGAGTGAAGTCGAGCTGGCCATGCCCATCCCGGACATGCCCAGCCCCGGCCATGCCCCTGGGCTCTCAAGGTCAAACACAACCCTGATGCAGCCCTCAATTTAAATCAAGTTTGACACCCCTGTTCTAGACTGTTTTTGTAGCTCTGGATTGGTTATTGCATCTGCACCAGCTCTTTGCTTTTATAGATAGATAGATAGATAGATAGATAGATAGATAGATAGATAGATAGATAGATAGATAGATAGATAGATATAGATATAGATATAGATATAGATATAGATATAGATAGATATAGATATAGATATAGATATAGATATAGATATAGATATAGATATAGATATAGATATAGATAAAGATATATAGATATATAGATATAATGGAGCCCATTTAAAAAAGAAAAGCTGTTTCAAATCAAACCAAAACCCAATTCCCTGCATCTAATTTACGCTCGAGGAACAGTTGATTTGACCCCAATTTTGTTGCTTTACGTGCTTCAGCTTCGTTCCCCTCACCCACTTTGCTTCTTAACTTGCTTGAACTCCTATGAAGTTGCCATTAAACATTTATTTTGAAAGGATAAAACAGCTGGGTAGCAGCGGTAATAGAACGTACAAAGCTGAACTGCCAGCCACCAAATAAAATGCATCCATCAAAGGAAGAGAATACCATCTCTGCAACAAGTGGGATAGAGAAAAAGAATTTAAAAAAAAAAGAAAAGGGAAAACGACTGAAAAATAAATAGTGAACACCTGTGCTGCATAAATTAACCAGCTGGTTGGCAGTTTTTCTTTTGACCTATTGGAAGGGTGACTGTGGCAAAGCATTAATAAGACACATTGGCTTTGAGAGATTTCCTTTGTTGGGACCATTAATTAATGAACGACACTAGATAATGTTCAGAATTTACACCACAATTGGTGCTGCAGATGTATCCCTTTTTGTGAGATAGCAAGACCGAAAAAGGAGCGAGCGGGTGGGAGATTTTCCTCCCCAGACCTGTACAAAGATTTAAATGTGAACATTTCTCCCCCCACCCTGCTTCCGTTTTTATTGCCGCATCTATTCTCTTTGAAAATTATGTCCTTGGGTGAAAAAAATATCCGGGATGGGGATTATAAATTTCAGATTCGTATTCCAGAGTTGCTTTTTAACTCATTGTTGTTGCGGGAAGTTTAGATAGAAGTTTCTGCTTTAGTTGGGAGGCTGGCAGGGAGCAATTTTCAGTTCTTTGCAGACAAAATGGATTGGATTTTCCCCAATTGGGAGTCCAGCAACAACTCAGCTACAGGTAGTTCTCGATTTACGACTGCAGCCGAGCCCAAAATTTATGTTGCTAAGTGAGAGTGGATTTTGCCTCATTTGTACAACCTTTCTGGCTACTGTTGTTATCGTATTTTTCAGACTATAAGACGCACCGGTGTATAAGATGCACCAACATTTCCACCCTCTTTTCGCGGTGGGGGGGGGGAGAAGGGAAAGTGCGTCTTATACTCCATAAAGTACGGTAAGTGAATCACTGAAGTTGTTAAATTAGTAGCACGGTTGTTAAGTGAATCTGGCTTCCCCCTTGACTTTGCCCGTCAGAAGGTCGTAAAAGGGGATCACGTGACACTGCAACCGTCATAAATATGAACCAGCATCTGAATTTTGAGGACGTGACCAGGAAGATGCTACAACAGTCACAATTGTGAAAAATGGTCAGAGGTTACTTTTTTCAATGAAGTTGTAACTTTGAATGGTCACTAAATGAATTGTTGTAAGTCAAGGACTACCTGTACCATACTACCTGAACCATACCTATACACACACACAAATTTGGGAGGTGGGAGAAGAATGGCAATCCTGGCCCAATTCAGGTATAAAATGCCTCTATCTACTTGGTATCATCCTTCACCTACTGTAGCTTTTGCCGCAGTTTAGGGTGTGGTTTCTGTAATAGCATCCAGGCTTCCATGTTCAGATTATTATAACTCCAGTGAAAGTTTCCCCCCCCCCCAAGTTTTTTATTCTTTTATTTTTTTACAAACATATCAATGCGTGAACAGTGTGGCACCTGGGTGTCATACATTCTAATACTATGTGGCATGTGTGCTAGAGGTGGCACGCAGAGCCCTCTCCATGGTCACATGCATCGTCACGCTGCTCTATTGTTTCTGATGCCGGAGCGCTGGAAACGGCCCGAAAAACAGCCAAACAGGCCATTTTCTGGCCCCTTTTTGGACCTGTTTTTTGGCCCATTTTCCAACTCAAAAACAGCCTGAAAATGGGGCAAAAAGTGGCTTGAAAATGGGCAAAAAAACAGGCATGTGCGCGCCGGCCAGCTGGTTTTCGGATTTCCGGCGCTCTCATATGCACGCGCGTGCACGCACATTCCTGTTTGGGCACTCAGTGCCAAAAAGGTTGGCCATCTCTGTTCTAATAGAAATAAAACTAGTAGAATTAATCACAGTTATTGCATTCAATTTATATATTTCTAATAATGATACACATTTATATTAAGTTACAGTCTGTCGTGGTTCAATTATTGCATGTTTTCTCTTGTTACTGCTTTTATTTTATTATATAAATGTGTATACACTAATATTCATCTACTGTAGCTTTTTGCTACACTTTAAGATGTCGTTTCTGTAATAGCATCCCGGCTTCCATGTTCAGATTATTATAACTCCAGTGAAAGTGGATCAAAGCGGAAAGGCGTAGCTCTTGTTGTCCCAAAGGTGTTTTTTCCAAAAGGCAACTGACCTTCCTTGTTTTGTTTTGTTTTTTTTACCCTTGGAAAACATTTTGCTTCTCATTCAAGGAGCTTTTTCAGTTCTGAAGAAGTTTGCTTCTAGGGTGAGAAGTTCTCTTCTTGGATGAGAAGCGAAATGTTTTCAAGGGGAATAAAACCCCAAGAAAGTCTAGTTCAGAGACTTGGAAAACTTGGAAAAAGTTCAGAGAAGAGCAAATAAGATAATCAGGGGACTGAAACATATAAAGAATGGCTGCAGGAGTTGGGTTGGGCTAGTCTAAAGAAAAGAAGAATTAGGGGCGACATGATAGCGGCATTCCAGTATTTGAGGGGCTGCCACAAAGAGGAGGGGGTCAAATTATTCTCCAAAGCACCAAGAGGGCAGGACAAGAAACAAGGGTTGGAAACTAATCAAAGAGAGAAGCAACCTGGAATGAAGGAGAAACTTTCCTAACGGTGAGGACAAGGAACCAATGGAATAGCTTGCCTTCAGAAATCATGGACGCTCCATCACTGGAGGTTTTTAAGAGACTAGACAGCCACTTATCTGAAATAGTATTGGCATTCCTGCTTGAGCAGGGGGCTAGACTAGAAGACCTCCAAGGTCCCTTCCAGCTCTATTTCTATTTCTCTATTTCCCTTTCCATTATTTCTATTCCATTCCATTCCATTCCATTATTGTTCTGTTCTGTTCTGTTCTGTTCTACTCTACTCTACTCTACTCCTATTCTGTTCTACTATATTCTACATCTACCCTACCCCTACCCCTACCCCTACCCCTACCCCTACCCCTACCTCTATTCTATTCTATTCTATTCTATTCTATTCTATTCTATTCTATTCTACTCTACTCTACTCTACTCTACTCTACTCTACTCTACTCTACTCTATTTTTGGAAAAAGCATATTTGGGACAACTGACCTGGATGATGGAGAATCTCCATAGACATCATCGTTCTTGTTGCATTGGCTAAGTTAGGGAAGCCTCTAACTGCAATGTTGGGGAACTGATTTTTCTTTCTCTCTTTGGGGAAAAAAACAACCAACAACCCAGCCAGGACTCAGCTGAGGATGTTGAAGAAGCCGGTGCACTACCAAGACCATCTGCCTCAGCCACTTCTGCCTTTAGTAAGGATTCAGAGGAGACCTCTGCGGTCACCGAGGTCAAGAATGGATGCTTATCTTCAGACGATGGGGCCAAAAGCGAAGAGATCTGCCCTCAAAGCGATGCAGGAGGTGATCTACAAGGTATCAGTGACGAAGAGGAGACAGGAGGGACTTCTCTGGAAGGGAAGTCCTCTGACAGCATCGTGCCCGATCCAACAGCATTGGAAACAGGAGACCATAAATTTGAGCCAGTCCCTGAAGCTGCAGCTGAACCAAGGAAAATCACCTATGCCCAAATTGTAAAAGAAGGGAGGCGGTTTAATATTGATTTAGTTTCTAAGGTAAGAGACTTAACTATATTTTTCTGGTTTTTTTTTTTTAAAGTCACTTCTGCTTATTAATCATGCAGATAGTTCTCGACTTACAAACTTAAAACAGCCCCAAATTTTTGTTGTTAAGCGAGACATTTTTTTAAAAAGTTTTTTTTTAATTTTATTTTTATATAAACAACCCATTTTCCATTAACCAGTGTGTCTTCTGGGTACACATATTTTGTGCCAACATTAAAATATACAATCTTATTCATTGCTTAATCTCATCTTGGCTTAATTTCCAATACCTTAAGTATCGAATATTATAGCAATCCCATTGTGATTTATTTAACTCTATTAATTATATTAACTATTAATATTTTCTATACTTTAAGTAACTTCTTTTACTATTAATTCTTACGTCTTTTCTCTAACCGCTGGTAAAAAGATTCCCAAATTGTATAATAATCAGTTTGTTCTTTCTCTTTGATAGCCAGTGTCAATCTGTTCATTTCTGCACATTCTAGTATTTTCCTAATCGCATTTTCATCTGTAGGGATCTCTTCACTTTTCCAATTTTTTGCAAATACAATCCTAGCTGTTGACATTTCTTAAGTGAGTCCCACAGCAGCTCCTCCTCTGACTCATTGTTGACTAACCAACAGTCCCATTCACTTTAATGGGATGGCTGGTGATGCAGCAGTGACACAACAAGGTGAGGGACGTGGCGGTGGCAGGTGAGTGGATGCCCGCTAAACAGGTGCTACCATGATGGATCTGAAATGACAGGGGCTCTTTAAATGGAAGGACTCATTCTTGCTGTTAGTTCGAATCTTTAATATGATTATTTGCAAACAAAACGAAGGTTTCCTATTTAGCATGCAGAGCGTGGATGCATTGAATGAGTTTACCCAAAATATAAATATTGCAGAATCTGCAGCCTCGTGCTACATAACTAAGCTTCATTTCATGCTGAACAAACTAAATTATCAATGTATCTTAAATAGAAAACGACCTTTTTAGATAGATTTTTTTTACTCCAAAAGCATTTTATTAAAATAAATTTGATAAAAATCAAAAAAATCTGATTTAAATTAAAAAAAATCCATTTTTTTTAAATCGTCGATTTTTATCCACCCTGGTACGGAATCTAGCCTTGATTTAACCTCCCATCAAAGCAAACCGTTTGCTCAGAGCTCTCCATGGTCCTGTTTTGGTCTGTTTTGCCATCTATGATCTTCTGCCCAAGATCTGGACAAGGCACACAGCTTGGATTCGGAAAGCAAATTCCTCTGTATCTCTCTCTCTCTGGCCTTGCAAAGTCATCTCCTTCTGATTCCCGACTACTTTTGAGAATGATGGCCTGTTGTAACTAACATTCTCCAGTGGAGCATTGCCTTTTCGAAGTGAGGTCATCCATCTTGTGTGAGAGAGGTTTTTACATTCATGTCCTTCCAAGAATGTATAATAAATTTGGAGCTTATACAAAGTGAGCAAAGGTATTTAGAAGATTAAGTTTTATGGTTTCAACTTGTAACCCTTGCAGGCTTGCTGGGATATTGAAGAAATAAAGACAGCCGTTAAGATCGGGAGTCCAAACACCAAAAAACGGGGAAGATGAAGTAGAAAGGATATGTAGAATATTATAAAGAAGATTAAAACCTCTGGAAGTCTTGTCAAATATATTCTTCCAGAATATATAGCTAGATTTTTTTTTTTTTTTAATGATTTGAAGGTTTGAGCATCGTGAATACCTCCAGTAAGAATCTTTTTAATTTTCTTCCAGATAACTTTTTGATTTGCATAGTATCAAATACAGATAATCCTCGACTTACAACACCGTTCGAGGTTACGTCACTGAAAAAAGCGACGTATGACCATTTGTCTCACTTAATGACCGTTGCAGCAACCCCATGGTCACATGATCACAATTCAGACGCTTGGCAATGGTCTCACATTTACGACGGGGTTATGCGATCCCCCTTTTGGCAACCTTCTAAGAAACGAAGTCCATGGGGAAGCCAGATTCACTTAACAGCCACGTTACTCGCTTAACAACTGCTGTGGTTCCCTTAACCACTGGGGCAAGAAAAGTTGTAAAATTGGGCAAACCTCACTTAATAACTGTCTCACTCGGCAACAGAAATTGTGGTCGTAAGTCGAGGACCACCTGTAGTTTCTTTTACAGTAGTGGCCAAAATTGTGGAAATCTTTTGGGAGAAGTGTATTTTTGAGGTTTGATGGCTAATAACACCACTTTTTTTTTTTTTTTTTGAGTTTCAAGATAATCCTATTCCACTACTGGAATGGCCTGGAAATAGTCCAGACCTTAATCCAACTGAAAATCGATGAAGCCGACTCAAGAAACTTGTTAGTCAGAAGCAATAAAACCCAGTTAATAGAAGCCATCATTCAATCTTGGTTTCACATTAGAACAGCTGCAGAACTAAAAGACTTGGTTCACTCCATGGGAAGACGTTGTAAGGCCGTCATTCATGCCAAAGGTTACCCAACTAACTATTAACTGACGTGGTAATTTTTGTATATCTCATTTTTTCTACGATGATAATTTTTGCATATCTCGTTTTTCCTACGTGTTTCCCTTTTCTTCTTTATACTGGAACTGCTATTCTAATAGCAACTCCTTCATAAAAGTTATTGCATTACGTTCTTGATTAAATAATCTTTCCATTGATACATAATTATATGGTACTACTCGGGAAAAAAAGTGGTGTTATTAGCTAGTTTTAGAAAATACACTTTTCCCAAAAGGTTTCCACAATTTTGGCCACTACTGTAATTCTAAGATTGTTTCTCCAGTACTTTTCCTAGTGCAATAATATTCCTTTGCAGAAAATTATTACTTCGGTTGTGTCCCCTTCAGCCTTTGAGGTTATTTCCTCCAGCTGCATAAGGGCTGATTTGCTGCTGCTTTTCAAAATGTCATTATTTATTTTTAAGACTGTTTGCGTTCTGTTTTCTTCTCCTTCCAGTTTCTCGGCCAAAAGAGCCACTTTTAATTTACCAAAATGCCTAGCATTCTTGGCAAGCGTGTTCCTTGCAAGCAATAACAGCAAGGAAGTAAAAAAGTTTATTGAAAATAGCAATCGTGTTTTCTCGGAAGAATTTGTACACATGTTCTTTTTTTTTCTTCTTCTTCTTCTTCTTCTTCTCTCCTGCAGCTCCTTTATTCCCGAGGATTGCTGATTGACCTCCTCATCAAGTCAAATGTCAGCCGATATGCCGAGTTCAAAAACGTTACCCGTATTCTTGTCTTGAGAGACGGCAGAGTGGAACAGGTACGCCGATCGGTCAAATTGCAAAATTGAACTCACGGCTCTTTGGAAAGCATTCCTTTTCACTGAGCCGTGGTGGCACTGTGGGTTTAAAGTGCTGGATTGCAGGCTGACTCTGCCCACTGTCAGGAGTTTGATTTTGACAGGCTCAAGGTTGACTCAGCCTTCCATCCTTCTGAGGTCGATAAAATGAGGACCCAGATTGTTGGGGGCAATAGGCTGACTCTGTAAACCACTTAGGAAGGACTGTAAAAGCACTGTGAAGCAGTATATAAGTGCTATTTCCTTTCCTTTCCTTTCCTTTCCTTTCCTTTCCTTTCCTTTCCTTTTTCCTTTCCTTTCCTTTCCTTTCCTTTCCTTTCCTTTCCTTTCCTTCCTTTCCTTTCCTTTCCTTTCTTTTCCTTCTTCCCTTCCCTTCCCTTCCCTTCCCTTCCCTTCCCTTCCCTTCCCTTTGTTAGAATGCAGTATTACAGGCTAAATCTGCCCACTGCCAAGAGTTCGATCCTGATCCGCTCAAGGTTGACTCAGCCTTCCATCCTTCCGAGGTCGATAAAATGAGGACCTAGATTGTTGAGGACAACATGCTGCCTCTGTAAACCGCTTAGAGAAAGCTGTAAAAACACTGTGAAGCGGTATATAAATCTAAATGCTGTTGCTATTGCTATTTTCATTAATATAGTCCTATTGATTCCTGCCTCTTACTTCCATCTATTCAGTATGTATTTTATTTTATTTTATTTTATTTTATTTTATTTTATTTTATTTTATTATTTTATTTTTTGTATTTTTTATTTTTAAACCACCCAACTCCCTCAAAGAGAGCCTCTGGGTGGCGTGCAATATAATCCAACTGATAAATAAAGCAACGTATAAAAATTAACATTAAAAGTAAAAATTAAATTAGGATTTTTTTTTAAATTATAGAATCATGACAATTAAAAATCAAATGGGGAAAAAAATCTTAAAATGGCCTGTCAGGATTCCAAGTAACACCCCCAACGAAAGAAAACTCCGAGGTTTGAAGTTCCTCAAAGTTCCATTTTATTAGAGATGTTATATTGGCACATCTGGGAAAACCCGAATCTGAAAGCTTCCAGGTTTTCCCCACCCAAAGGAAAGTCCAAGTCCCTGCTCAGCACCCACATGTCCATCACATAGTCTAATCAAAGCACCATCCCAACTGGAGAGGCCTCCCAGTTCCATCCATCCAGGTGCAGGGCAAGATGTCCTTGACTCCCTGAGAAAGGAATGTTATTATGACTACATATCACCCATGCTCCATACAATCCCCCCCTCCCAGTTTCCCACAGTAGGAAATGTGGCAGGCCTGAAGGCCCAATGCAAAAGATGGCTTCCAGGCCTTTAACGTTGGGACAGGTTTGACTCTCAAGGGAGTAGTCCACCCCAAGGTTGTGAGTTCCTCTTTGCAAGGATGCTGTCATTGTTATCTCTTTGCTCGAGCCAAGTGCAAAAGGGAGGATGACCCCAAACTCTTTTGTTTCAGGTTCCATGTTCCAGAGCGGACATTTTCAATAACAAACAGCTGACGATGGTGGAAAAAAGAATGCTGATGAGATTTCTGACCTTTTGCCTGGATTTTGAACAGCGCCCTGATGAATACCAAGGTGAGCATCTTTTCCCGAATGGTGAAATCCTTATTTTTCAATGAACGGAACCTAATTTACCGTGGGAGCATGTCAGGAAGCAACTCGGAGTTCCCAAGTACTTTACATTGTTGGGTTGCTGTGGTGGAGAGGTTCTGACCATTCATGAGGATGGCTGAGACCTTATTGACAACTGTGCTCAGTCTGGACGTTGGCGTTCGTGATGCCCATGTTGGCCAACCCTAGATCTGAAAGGGATGGTCTTGGAACCTTGGAATAAGACAACACAGAATGGTCGCTGAGCGATCAATCGTAAGTAAAGGACTACTTGTAACTGAGCACCTTGTGTTTTCTTGAACTTATATAAATGGTCATGCTGAAATTACTTCCCTCTCCTCTCCTCTCCTCTCCTCTCCTCTCCCTCTCCTCCCCTCCCCTCCCCTCCCCTCCCCTCCCCCCCTCCCCTCCCCCTCTCCCCCTGCTCCTCTCCTCTCTTCTTCTCTCTTCTCTTCTCTTCTCCTCCCCCTCCCCCTCCCCTGCTCCTCTCTTCTTCTCCCTCCCTTCCCCTCCCCTGCTCTTCTCTTCTTCTCTCCTCTCCTCCCCTCCCCCTTCCCTGCTCTCTTGTCCTCTCTTCTCCTCTCCTCCCCTCTGCACCTCTCCTCCCCTCCCCTGCTCTCTTCGCTTCTTCTCCCCTCCCCTTCGCTGCTCTCTTCTCCTCTTCCCTCCTCTCCTCTCCTCCCCTCTCCCTCTCCCTCCCCCTTACCTGCTCCTCTCCTCTCCTCCCCTCCCTGCCCTGCTCTCTTCTCCTTCCCTCCCCCTTCCCTGCTCCTCTCTTCTTCTCTCTCCTCTCCTCCCCCTTCCCTGCTCCTCTCCTCTCCTCTCCTCCCCTTCCCTGCTCCTCTCCTCTCCTCTCTCCTCTCCTCTCCTCTCCTCCTCTCCGCTCCTCTCCTCTCTCCCTTTCTCTTCTCTTCTCTCTTCTCTTCTCCTGAGACAGCTCAGAAGGATTGCAAGTTTGCCGATTATTTAAAAACCCAGAAGTTAACTCCCAACCTGCAGCATTTCATTCTGCATTCCATTGCGATGGTCTCGGAGGCCGATTGCTGCACCATCGACGGACTGAAGGCCACTCAAAAATTCCTGCAGTGCCTGGGGCGCTACGGCAACACTCCCTTCTTATTTCCTTTGTACGGCCAAGGGGAAATCCCTCAGTGTTTTTGTCGGTAAGTGTATTTCTTCTCTCTTCTTTTTTTAGGCACTTTAGTTCGTTTTTTAAAAAGGTCTTAATCATTTTCCTTTTGGCGTATATTTAAACATTTAAGTTGGAAAATATGCCTCTGCTGTTTAAGCAAATATGGCTTGTAGGCCTTGTGTTGCTTTGCACTTGGACGGACAGAAGTTAAGAAAGTGACTCTTAGTTGGCCAACCCTTGATACGTTAGAGCAGGATTTCCCCAACCTTGGCAATTTCAAAATATGTGGACTTCAACTCAGTGATGAAATCCAATTTTTTTTTACTACCAGTTCTGTGAACGTGGCTTGGTGAGCGTGGCAGGGGAAGGATACTGCAAAATTCTCCATTCCCATCCCACTCTGGGACCAGCCAGAGGTGGTATTTGCTGGTTCTCCAAACTACTAAAAATTTCCGCTCCTGGTTCTCCGAACTACTCAAAATTTCCACTACCAGTTCTCCAGAACCTGTCAGAACCTGCTGGATTTCACCCCTGCTTCAACTCCCTGAATCCCTCAGCCATGTAAGCCTGGTTGCTGAGGTTTTATTTACCATATCATGGTTAAAGCAAACCATGGACTTAGCATTTATCCTCATATATTATGTAGAACACCAAAAAACAATGCCTGGAAGAACGGAATTGGTAACATGGGCCATTGGTAGAAGTCCAAAGGCTGACAAAAGTTCATTACAATTAAAAATTTGTTGAAAGCAAATCACTTTTGTGCCAAAAATGAGTACAGGTAGCTTAACAACCATTCGTTTAGTGATCGTTGAAAGTCACAGGTAATCCTTGACTTACGTCTACAATTGAGCCCAATATTTCTGTTGCTAAGTGAAAAATTTGTTACTGTATTTTTCGGACTATAAGACCACCTAAATTTAGAAGAGGAAAACAACAAAAAAAAGTTTTTGGCCTCCCTTTTTTCGGCCCTTTTCCAGTCTTTTTCCAGTTCATTTTTGAGGCTTTTTTTTGGCCCATTTTGGGGGCTTTTTTCAGCCCGGTTTCAAGGCTTTTTTCAGCCCATTTTGGGGGCTTTTGTTGGCCCATTTTTGAAGCTTTTTCGGCCCGTTTTCAGGGCTTTTTTGGTCCGTTTTCGAGGCTTTTGGGGGGCATTTTTGAGGCTTTTTTGACCCGTTTTTGAGGCTTTTTCCAGTCAGTTTTTAAAGGTCCGAAAATAGGCTAAAAAAAGCCTCAAAGGACAGGGGCTCCCACAGAGAAGGCTCTCCCCCTGGGTGTCGCCAGCCGACATAATTTGGCCGACGGTACCCTGAGGAGTCCCTCTCTGTGGGAGCAGACTAGTCGGTGGGAGGCTATCGGTGGCAGAAGGCGGTCTCGTAGGTACCCAGGTCCTGAGCCATGGAGTACTTTAAAGGTGGTAACCAACACCTTGAATCGCACCCGGAAGACCACTGGGAGCCAGTGCAGCTCGCGCAGGAGAGGTGTTACATGGGCGCAACGAGTTGCACCCATAATTACCTGCGCAGCTGCATTCTGGACCAGTTGGAGCCTCCGAGTGCTCTTCAAGGGGAGCCCCACGTAGAGAGCATTACAGTAGTAATCTCTTACTGCATATTCATTGACTTATACGCCAGTGAGTCTTTCTTTAAAGATTCCCCCCGCCTTTAAAATTCTTTTATTTCAAAATACACGGCTTCCTTCATCCTTGTACAGGTAGTCCTCTACTTACAACAGTTCATTTAGTGTCAGTTCGAACCTGCAACAGCACTGTAAAAGTGACTTATGTCCATTTTTCACACTTTACGTCCTCTCCGGCATCATGTGATCAAAATTCAGGCGCTTGGCCACCGACTCATATTTATGATGGTCGTGCCGCGTCCCGCGGTCGTGCGATCCCCTTTGGCGACCTTCTGACCAGCGGGGAAGTCCACGGGGAAGCCAGATTCACTTAACGACCTGCAGTGATTCACTTAGCAAGAAAGGTGGTAATAACGGGCAAAATCGAGTGAACAAATGTTTTTCGCTGAGCAACAGAAAATGTTGGGCTCAATTGCGGTTGTACGTCGAGGACTACCTGTGCCCTGGTATGTGTTTCCCAGTTCTGCCTGGCCTGTAAGATTTCCAGGCAGAGTCTTCAACCGGTCTACCAAGTGGCATCAACTCTGCCTATACATCATGGCCTACAATTTTTTATCGCCGGGTTATCAGAGTAAGGTGTCACTTGCCCTGTGATTTCTAACCGCCTCTTCATATTCTGTTTTAATGTAACCCTCTTTAAGCGTTCCTTGCGCTCAGTTATCCTGTGTCTTCTCATCAAGGCTACCGTTATAAACGACATGCATGCATATTTATGTGAATGATTCAAAGACATTTGTAAGTCATATCCTTGCATTCCAAATGAGCTGGGCATCAACTCTGCAACGTTCTCGAGAACTGTGGTGGTCCCTGAAGTGTACGTAAAATCAGGAGTTATTTTGAAACAGTTGTGAGCTAATCCAACTTCTTCTCCTTCTCCTCCTCCTCCTCCTCCTCCTCCTCCTCCTCCTCCTCCTCCTCCTCCTCCTCCTCCTCCTTCTCCTCCTCCTCCTCCTCCTCCTCCTCCTCCTCCTCCTCCTCCTCCTCTCCTCCTCTTCCCTTCTCCTCCTCCTCCTCCTCCTCCTCCTCCTCCTTCTCCTCCTTCTCCTCCTCCTCCTCCTCCTCCTCCTCCTCCTCCTCCTCCTCCTCCTCCTCCTCCTCCTCTTATTCTTATTTATTCTTATTCTTCCATTGACAGAGGTGCCAATTTTTAAATGCAGGGCTCATCAAAATTATATTTGAGCTTCCTGAGTTGGCACAGAAAGAACATTCTTTGTTGTGCTTTTTTGATGTTAGGTGTCCATTTTAGGTCTTGAGATATGATAGAACCTAGAAATTTGAAGGTCTCTACTGTTGATACTCTGTTGTCTAGTATTGCGAGAGGTGGTAGTATGGGAGGGTTTCTCCTAAAGTCTACCACCATTTCTACGGTTGTGAGTGTGTTCAATTCCAGATTGTTCCGGTCGCACCACGAGGCTAGTTGTTCAACCTCCCGTCTATATGCGGATTCATCATTGTCTCGAATGAGACCAATCAATGTTGTATCATCTGCAGACTTCAGTAGTTTAACAGATGGATCGTTTGAGATGCAGTCATTGGTATATAGAGACAAGAGAATAGAAATGGAGAGAGCACACATCCTTGGGGGGCCCCCTGTGCTAATTGTACAGGTATCTGATGTGATTCTGTTTAGCTTCACCTGCTGCTTCCTGTCTGTTAGGAAGCTATATTGGAGGTGGTGACCCTTTGAGAGCTATATGCAATGAAATTTCATTTTAATGATGTATGCCGATTAGTGTACATTCAAAGTGACAATAAAGTTATTCTAAGTCTAAGTCTAGATCTAATCAATACATAGAATGGGTTTCTTTTCCGTGTCTGAGTGAATTGGAACCTCGGATTCCTTTCCTTTGATGGAAATAGTCTCCCTTCAATGGAGGGTGGGAACTTCTGACAACTTCATGGTGGGGATTCAAAATACATCTGGCAATGAAAATGAAAGCATTCCATTGTTCCAAAAGAGGGACAATCCACTATTTTTCTTCCTGGAGGCTGTTTTTCTTCTCTCCCCTCCTCTTGTCCCCAAAACCACACAAAAAGATATTTACATTTTTCTAGAGTACGAAAAAGGGACCTGATGTTTAGAGAGAAGTCTTTGAATCACTGTCTGTCATGGAACTATTCTCAAGAATAATAACACAATGCTGAGTCACAAGATTTAGCCCGAGCACAGTAAGATCAGATAGTTGTGATTAGAAACTCAGGGTTGAACTGTGGCATCCTTGGTGCTTTCTGATCTTGGTTGTTTCATGAAGATATTTCATTACCCAACTAGGGAACCGTTGTGGTCTGCCAGCAGCCTGCGGAGCTGGCAGCCGAGTCGGACAGTAGGAGGCTGGGGAGGAACATGGGCCAGTCCTGGAGTCTGGGGAATGCCCCGATAAGGTAACGCTGTTACCTTCCCACCAAAGGTGGTCCCTATTTTCCTCCTTGCATTTTTTTACGTGCTTTCGAACTGCTAGGTTGGCAGAAGCTGGGGCAAGCAACGGGAGCTCACCCCGTTACGCGGCACTAGGGATTCGAACCGCTGAACTGCCGACCTTTCGCTCGACAACTCAGCCACTGAGCCACCAAGTCCCCTTTTTGCCCAACTCTCTGTTTCCTAAAGGAAAAGCCACGGTGTCTATAGTGGGTTAAGGTTAAGGGGTGGGAAATTTTGCTGGATCTCCAGTTTGATGCTGATAATCCCAGGTAGCATTCAGCTTCTTCCTTTTCTTTGCCTTCAGTGTAGAAGATGACAGCTTTTTATTGTTTGGCTGCTGTACATAACTCAGACCCAAAAGAAAGCTGTCAAAAAGTGCAGAAGCTTAGCTAACTTGCGTTTCTCAATTAAAAAAAAAAAATCCTTTAATTCAGCCTTCTCCAGCCATGCTAGACTTCTTCCCATTACCCCAGACAATCCTGGCACTGCCACCTCATATTTGAAGATCCAAAGTTCATTAAAGGCTGATTTAATCATGAGTGCGCATGTTTTAATGTGTTAGTTCTATCCGTCTACAAACACAAGACCTCTCCGTCTCGGAGATCCTTGACTTTACAGATACGCAGAGGTGTTAATTGGCAATTTAATAATAGATGACACCCAATTTCAAGCATGATGAAAATCTTTATCACCAGTTTTAAAGAGCCAATTTGCATTCTGTGTGCCTCTTGTGGCGGAAGGTAGAAGGAAGAGTAGCTCAGCATCGAGTTGCAGAAAGAAGAATCTTAGTTGGTGGGAGGTGAGCGGCCAGTACATCAACACAAGATTGAACAAATGGAATCCAAAGCGGCTTCTGAAAGTCACCATGACAGTGGTCCTCCACTTATAACCACAGTGGGGACAGGAACTTCTGGTTGCCAAGCACAGAATAGAATAGAATAGAATAGAATAGAATAGAATAGAATAGAATAGAA